CCGCGGCGTAGATTGGTCAGTGAGAAATTAGAGGTTACGCGTTGTATTGCTTTTCATTGGTCTTTTTGTTCGGAAATTCGGATTTCTCGTCGTTCCTTTGTTGTCATTAGGCTAGTCTATTTGGTCTCTTTGTGAATCGTTAAAGTTCAGCGAGAGGGCGGCAGACTCGACTAATTTTCAACGCGAGACATTGCCCCTGGCGTTCAATTAACGAGCCTTTCTTCGATACAAGGGACTCGTGATCACGGGATACACGTGAACCCTTCTGTCGCGAGGTGTACACGCGTTCTAATTATTACTCACGTGGTACGCTGATGTACTGTTTTGTCGAGGTTGCTCGATGAGTCAGGGCTGAGCTGGGTACTTATGGAAATTGATACTTAGCAGTCTTCATCCTTCGTCTCCGATCTGTCGATAATCTCTGAGCAAGATCGTTAGGTGTTTTATTATGCTTTCGTGACGAGAGTATTGAAGTTCGTTCAATTAGCCAAGCACAATAATATATACAGACTATGGAGATTACTATGGATAATGAAGAGTATCGTAGAATGGATGAAAATTTTAGTAGACAAACGATGATTGTATATTCTATGGGGATATTAACGATAAGAAATTTTAGAACTTAGGTCATGTTACCTGTTTTCTGAAAAGATAATTGGTTGAGGAAAATGAGCAAGTGTAAATACAATTTGCATGTACTGTACTTTAATAAATGCGTATTAACCTAGTTCACGTTATAACATTATACAGAAATAACTGTACGTGGAAAACAAAAGCCCATGGACGGTGATGGAAGCAAACTTGTCTTACCTTCGAATGACGTAATGCAGAGTTAGAGTAATTTAAGGTATAAAGTTTCAGACGAAATCTTGAAGATGTCTCCAAGAATTAGCATAAATATTTTCTTCTCATCACGAAGAATTAATACGATGAAATAACTTCAGCTCATGCACTTGTTCCCATACATGTACCCTGTGTCACATTAAAATTTGAAGCAAGCATCTCTTCATTCTCTAACCTAATTGAGCTATGCGTACTTAGTATCTGCATACCAATCTGCTGCTGTATTAATTAACCCACCCAGTTTCCTCTATTTAACAGTTCAATACTGACTGCAATTAATTTCGTGCACAATTGAACAATAAATTCGAAGTTTCAGAGAATTCAACCGATGATTCTCGCAAGATCTTTGATCTTGGATCGTTTCGTTTCTCGAATTCTCTGACACGCTGCTCTGAGAGATCGTTCGCGAGCAAGAAACAATTTTCGACGAACAAAGGGCGCGCCAAAGAGCTCCCAGACGCCATTACAGTGCGTCGATGCGTGCCGCCCGCCATTTTGTTCATCAGGAATTCATGAGAGCTCGCGTGTCGCGTTCAGACTAGGTTCACATTGCCATTGTTTCCCCAAACGGGATAGAATTTCGTTACAACTTCAGTTGAGCACGTTCTCGGCGATTTTATTAGTTGGAATTAAAATGGCCGACCCTGCCACGAGCATGGAAGCGAGTTTTGATGAGCGGATCGATTGATGAGCCACGACTCTGATGTTTGGACGTGCTGTTTACTAAATTGTGTGCATGTTTTTGAAATTAGGTGAGCTTGTTTGTGGGGGCGATTGGTGGATCGAAAAGGCTTGGAAAGCGAGATGGATGCTGAAGTGCAGGAGTACATGACTTTGGAGCTTGAGTCTCGTTCAAATTAATCAGGTTACCTGATTTCTAATACCTCGAATTTGATATGCTAACCTGTTGTTTCTTGCCAATTTTAGTTCTCTCAAAATGAAATTAGAACATATACAGAAGTACATATTTTAAATGTGATGAAGAGGACTAAATAATGTTTCTTTCTCAAAAGTGAGGTTATGTCATAAAAATAAATGACCAGTGTAATTATAAGGTGTCTAAATTTTTAGTGTGGAAGGAAAGAGTATCATGGTGGATATATTCTATTCAATATTATTATTAAAAGAATGAAGTTTTAAAAATTATAAGTTTAAAAATTAGTATTGTTCTGTATAATGTAATTTAAAAATGAATAAACCTACTTCTAGTTTTATTAATAATATTTTAATTATTATTTTTCTTATAGAATTGGATACATATTAATTAAAATGTGGTAGAAAGGACTGTATGACGTTGCTTTCTCAAAAGTGAGGTTATGTTCATAAAAATAAATGAGCGGTATAATTATAAAGTGTGTAAATTTTTAGTGTGAAAGGAAAAAGTATCATGGTGGATATATTCTTTTCAATATTATTATTAAAAGAATAAAGTTTTAAAAACTATTAGTTTAAAAATTAGTATTTTTCTGTATAGTGTAATTTTAAAACGAATAAACCTGTTTCTAGTTTTATTAATCATTTTTTAATTATTATTTTTCTTAAAGAATTGGAGTAATACATATTAATATTGGTGTATATAATTCAAAAGAAACGAGGACATAAATTAATGGGCAGTAATCGATTAAGTGGAAAAGAGGGATCAGCTTGTCACCGTGTTTACTATTATTTTAAATTTAATAATTTATATATTTAAAGGTCCCTTGGGTTCAATCTATCGTTGTATTTTTATCATATATGCATCGCGTCGTATTTGTGTTGGAACGAAATTGATTTAACTAAAGCCAATACGCCGTTATTTATTTTTAATTTCCTGTTAAAACAGTCCAGTTAATAAATTAAATAATAAACATCTCTTGCATCCCTGGCATTCAACAATATCCTCAACAAAAACCTGACACTGGGAGATCACAAATATTATATAATAATTTATTGACCCTGGGTACAATCCTTGTAATTAAATTTAAAAGTCGTGTCTCTGATTTGTGTTAATCGAAATAATAAATAATTTTATATCAGATTTATTCGATGCAAATGGAGGTCTGTAACATATATTTAGATATATAAGCTTATTTTTAGATGTTAGTAATCGTTTATTCTATGTGCCGTTATCATTTATCAATTGCATTTTTCAATTATTCCTATCTAAACGTTCTGCATCCCACTTTATTCGATAAAGGCGCATTTGTTCGTGAGATGATCTAGATTCACGGCATTCCCACTACACAGCTGTAAATTATGTGCCTACATACCCTTGAAATCACAAGCGTTCTCAGTCGTCATCGAAGTTTCATGGGCGTCGCATGTCTCGCGAGTGTCTCTATTCGTCGGGTATGTCTAGTGATTTTTGTTTGTGCCTTCAAGTGTGTTCGTGTATGCAGTCTACCTAAAATAACGTGGGGTGACTGAAATAACGAGAGTGAAACGTACATATAAATAGTACTTGAAGTACATGCAAATCGAGTGACTCAGAAGATGAATAATAAAAATGGCGAAGTCTTTAATTTGAAGGGACTATAAATACAGTGAATCTTTAATTAGAAAATCTTGGAATTTTACAAATTTTTATAAATGAATATATCTTGCAAAGATGTTATAGTTATTTTAAATATGCAAAAATGATTATTACCTTTCTATTTATCCCTTTACTAATGTAGATTCTGTATATTATGAAACACTCTGTCTATAAATTAAACATTTGATGTTAATATATCTTGAGCCAATTTGTGATATAATTTTGGTTCAATCAAGTTTTGATATTAGAGTAATTAAATTCAGGTATAACATAAAATATGTCTCAATATTATCAGAGACCAATATATTTCAAAATATATCACAATTATTTCTAAAAGTATTATAGCAGTCGAAAAATTTGAATTAATTATAGTAATCGAAATTTATTTGAATCGATTAATATAGTTGGGATCTGTAAAGCAATATCTAAATTTGCTATCATAAGAATAGGTTAATATGAGCAGGAAGAAGTTGACATTTCATAAATAAATTGTAAAATAATTTATTCAAATTTATACACACTATACAAACTATTAATAACACGTTGAAATAAAATAACAATCTTCAAATTATTAAAAAAGGGAAAATTATTATGAGTAATGATTAATTTCCTCAATATAGTTCACTTCAAAAAGCCAATTATTACAACGAAAGCTCCAAATACTTTCAAAAAGAAGCTCATCACTTATTTTCGAAAGTCTACCAAAATACTTCAACTCTTAGCTCCTACTTTTAAACAAGAAAATCCTCTGCTTATTTCAAGCTCTTTACTCTCTTGGAGCTGCCAGAGTCCCAGGAATTTATTCCCTGACGCATTCGAAAGGCAGTAAAATAAAATGAAATAAAGTCGGACGTTTGTGTATACGTAAAACTAGGTGGATCGCTGTTTATCATCAGTCTCTCTTTTTATTAGCACGAAAAAGGAATTTTTTGTCGCTTAAGCACCACCATGAGCGGAGACTACTCTCTGTGATGCTTCCGACGGATATCGAGCTCCCGTTGGAAAAGGGGGAATAAAATCAACGGTGGCCCGGAATTGGTCGGACCAGGAGTTTCTTAAAATCTCGAGGTTCTCTCGGAATTAGTATTTTTATGAAAATTACTCGAGTAAGAAGCTGAAACACTGACTCGAAGGGGGTACTCCCCGAATTAGAGCGCAGGGGACATTTTACTCCTGCCGAGAATTTTTATTTCTCAGCCACTTATATAATGAAATTGAGAACTGTCGTCTCTAAATGTTCCTCAACGTCACTCCCATCTCTCGTGTTTTAATTTCGTTTATTTGAAACTCACATATAGCAGGACATTTAAATTTGATTTACAATTAGTTCTAATTATAAAGGATTCACGCTGTCTACATTCTTATTGCTCTTATAAATGATTTCTGACTCATTTAAATGAGAATTTCTTCAAAAAATTAGCGTATTTTTATAGTTTAATTAATTAATTATAATTAACGAAGTTTCCACTGAAATTATCTTCGTCTACATTTAATGTCTTGTCAATAAGTATATCAATAGTATCCATATATTCACGACTATATTTCATTTTAAATAAAACAATTTTAGATATAGGTTAAGTATTTTATATTCACACATGCTTGAATAAAACGTCGATTTAACTCGTTTCTACTCTTCCATTTTCAGAAGAAACCAATGAGCGCTGACCTTTCTGGAACACGTGACCTAACCTCAAATATGTTCGCCTGGACGAGCGACTAACCATCCTGCGAAAATGTGAGTTCCACGCGATTTTTTCCTATCGTATTTCGAATTCAAAGGTGACCTTTGAATCTCCTCTGAACTCACGGGATCGTTAAATTTAATTTTTCACGGAACGTCGTTCATTGTTTCGGAATCTATCGTGAAACGCAAGGCTAACGTCACGGAGCGAACGTTTTTCCTCCTCGCGGAACGTGGCGTATGGTTCACCCTATTTTCAGCGAGCCGCGAAATTTCAAAAGTAGAGGGAAAAAAAGAGAAATGCGTCGTGT